GGGGGGGGGGGGAATTGAGATTTTGATTTTTTAAAATTAAAAATAAAACAAATAAGACATGGAAAATGCGCATACCTTCAATATTGTAGTACTTTTGTCTCATATTTGCTGCTTTGTGTTTTAGAAACACCAAGAATTCAAGGGGTCGTGTTCTGAGTTCGGACTTCTGGTAGATAGTAGCAGCGATATAGATGTAGGGCTTTTCATAGAATATCTCTAAAAATTTATAATATTTTTATAGCTCTATTTTTTATAATTTTAAATCTTCTTAGACGAATCCCCACACCCATATCCGTACCTGGATCCGCACCCCCGAATCTTAAAATTCAGATTTTGCCGAATCCGACACTCGGATCCGTGCCCGTATCGGATACCTTTACCCGAGGCCAACCAACTTAGACGTTGTCTACTCTCTCCCCGCCTAATCAATGAATTGCTTTTATAAAATGGCTTTGATACGGAGCAGCTGTATGTTGCGTTCTAAAAAATAAGAATCAGCCAATTAATTATGCATCAGTCCCAAACTAATTGTGGTCAATTATATGACTTCTTTTATCAATTTCGCTCTATTCAAGCCCATTTCGTTTCAATACTAAATACTATCTTTTAGGGTAGATTTGGGGTTCTTTTNTTTTTTTTTTTTTTTTAAAGAATGGAATTTTGGTGTTATGTAAGACAAGAGGTTCTCTAAATCTCACTTTTGTCCTTACATGGACATAGAAGTCTCTAACCCTGACAAACAATGCACTAATGTAAGTGTAACAACAACTAAACTGAGCTTGCAACTCGTTGCTGTTGGCTTTATGTACCCTTTGCTATGTTGTGTCCTACTCTTAGCTAAGTTTATATTGATTGCAAGAGCTCATAAGCCTTTCCAGATTATTTCCTCCACATGATTTTGGGTTATCTTGTACCCTTTTATAACCTTAAATTGTCATAGTATTGCACCTACGTGTTAGTGCACATGGAGGTTTATGTAGGATCTGATCAGACCATCTCAGGCGAGCTTTCGTTTTATCCTCTACGTGTGTCGTGTACTACTTGCACCTTTTGCCGGAACGTGATCATTTTTTATTTTGTCCAAATGACTGCACATCGATTTAGCATCCACTTTTTAATGACTTCATCTTGAGGATATGTTGGGCCTTTAAGGCCCAATGTTTACCCCGCAAATGACACTATTCTCATTTTATTTTTCATTGTCATTGTAGGTGGGTAAATGCGCCTCCTTGTGATAGTTGTGGTAATGAAACCAGAAGTCAAGGCATGGGAGTTGCAAATTCTTCTGAAACACAATATGGTGCTTCACGAGTTGAACTTTATCGGTATGTCTGGAAAACATATTTCTTCCACATTCTATGTGGTGTTAGATAGGCTCTTAGGAAGATTATCCCTCATTTCTCTTGGTTTCTAGTAACTAGTTGGTAGTTCTAAACAGAAAAGTACGTTTTTGTAACAAGCTTCTTAATCAATATCAGTGAGTTTCTTCCAGGAATCCTTATCAACTTTTACTAAAATCGTGGTCTTTTGATAAGTTATTGCTCAAAATGTATTTCCCGTGATATAGTATAGTCTCTCAGAGTTCTATGCTGGTTTTCTCGGTTGAAATCTTTTGAGACCATTGCTAGCTCTATACGACTAAAGGGGTAAATGTAAGATTCCATTGCCTATTCCAGTAACATAGTAATGCTCTTCGCTTACAGTTGACAACCCAAATGATGCCTCGATTGAACGAAACTCACATGTGAGGATCTCTTGGAGCTCTGCTTTGCTATTCTGACACCTCTTTAAGCATTAGAATTTTCTCTCTGGAGGGATATAGGCTTCCCTCTTCTCTTTGAGTAACCGGAAAATAGCAAGGTTGTCTTATAACATTTATCTCTAATGTTCGCAGCTGCAATTCATGTTCAAATATCACCCGTTTCCCAAGATACAATGACCCATTGAAGGTACTAGATACATCTGCCACTGGAAGAATTCTTATCACAAATTCTGACTGACATTTATGCAGCTTCTTGAGACAAGAAAGGGGCGGTGCGGGGAATGGGCCAACTGCTTCACGCTCTATTGTAAGGCTTTTGGTTATGATTCTCGTTTGGTAAGTCTCTTCTCCAAGAAAGCATATTTGATGTCAAACATGTTTAGATGTTCGCCATTGTGCTCTACTTCACTGCATGTTGGATTCAATTTTCATCAATCCTATGTAATTGTTCAGTTCTTAGTTATGTCTTGGAAGCATTAGTGACTGGTGAATTACTTATTATACATACAACAACAACAACAACAACCACAACAACCCAGTGAGATCCCACAGGTGGGGTCTGGGGAGGGTAGTGTGTACGCAGACCTTACCCCTACTCCGGAGGAGTGGAGAGGCTGTTTCTGGTAGACGAATTACTCATTATACATAAGATTAAAATTAGGAAATTGACAAATATGCAAATAAAGACATTGAAGAACCTGCAGCAACAAAGTGTCATTTTAAAATGATGATAAGAAGACCAAACTTCTATAAATTGAAGAAATATTAACAAATAGCTGGATAAAAGGCGAATAAATCTGGAACATTTGTTATTTGTGTGAAGAACTTTAGAGAAGCCTAGAGCTCCTTCCACCTGGAATACTGATTTTCTAAAACAGAATTCACAAAAGGCTTGGATCATATCTTGTCACCAACTTCCTCAGAAACTGCCAGCACTTTGTGGTTTTTAATCTTTTTGTGTTGGTATAAGAAGCTTTACAAAATACAAAGAGATACTTAACTCGAGAACCAGATAGGAGTGCTATCTCTTCTTTATATCCGCCTGGGTGGATTTAATCTTTTTCCTTTTTCTGTTCAGAAATCCAAATTAGCAGTAGATAATTAAAAGATGTATTCAGTTTTACCAGAGGGAAAGAATAACAAATAAAATGGGTAAAAAATTCCTTAAAATGCTAGAAGAGGCGTGCAAGGAGTGACTACCCTGGACACTGGCCTAAAGCGGAAACGTTGAAGATATCTACTTGCCTGAAATACACTGCATTTTGCTTCAGATTCAATTGCACTCTTCATTGTCAACTGCCAAGTCTTGTTTCCTTTTCCAGTTTTTCTGCAAGCTCATGTCTATTAAGCATTACTGCGTCATGTTGCTTTTAGCAAGAAACCATCTTTCATGGCCACATGATTGCTGTCTTCCCTTATGGTGCTTTTCTTTATTGTTTTTACTTAGGTAAAAATTATGTGCTACAGTGCTAAAAGTTAATTTCTGATGGTTTCAAGGAACCTCTACCTTTGACAGCCATCCAATTTGTCAAGTTTATTGACTTAATCAGGGATATCTCTAGGAGCCCATATTACTGTAAAATTTGAGAGCCCCAAAAGAAGTCTTGTAAGGGAATCATCTGTTTTTACAGAATAACATTTGACTTAACTTCTCCTTCTATTGTTTCACTTTCCAGATTCTGGACTTCACTGATCATGTCTGGACAGAGTGCTTTTCACCATCTCTGGGAAGGTAATATCTTTTTCAATGGGCTAGCTCTATAAATTTGTTACAATGATCCAGAACATGAAGTGATGGGGCCAAATCATGCAGATGGATGCATCTTGATCCTTGTGAAGGAATATATGACAATCCTCTTTTATATGAGAAGGGGTATTTTCTCTTTGCCAATTTTACCTCTTGGTAGATGTGATTTCTTATTGTAACTAATGTAGCAATCACATAATTCATGACGTGATCTTGGTTGTATTAATATAAAATTTGCTCCAGAAGCTGACTGGTGGACTATTTTACCCTGTCATAGTATCATATATAGTGACATGCCTGCAAAATGTAGGAATTTGCATTCATGTAAAATCTGTTGCAACTGTAACGGTCAGGAAGTGGTGGAAGTTTTAAAAGAAGCGTGTTTTGAAATTGTGAAAGTGTGTCTAATTTATTGACAACAGAACCAAACCTCAATTTAGCAATGGTAATTTTCAGTATAACTTTGCATATATTTAAGTACTATCTTTTTATTGTGGCTAGCACTTCACATGTTCACGAAATATTTAGGAGAACAAATTCGCACTGGTACTATGATCCCATTCTATCTATTATTGCCATTATATGATACACTATTTTTTACCTGCCTTCTTAATTTTGGTGTTTCAACCTTTTCCTACCCGCCTTCTTATTTTTAGTGTTTCAACCTTTCTCTGAAGATGGAAAAAGAATTTGAACTATGTGATTGCTATTGCAAAAGATGGTGTGCATGACGTCACTAAGCGTTACACCAGGAAGTGGCCTGAGGTACTGTTAGTTGAGTGTCCCTTTATTGATCCTTCTATGAGCTCGTGAGTTTCTGCAAGTGAGATAAATGTTCTTTTATCATGAAGGTTCTTTCTCGGCGAAACATCACCTCAGAGCCTGCTCTCTCTGCTGTTCTTTCTGATATAACTAGGGAACTGCAGAAAAAATTATCTGCTGAAGTGATTTCAGCACTGGAAGATCGGGACAGAACCGAAATGGATGTCATTGAGCGAGAATTGTATTCTAAAGATGATGCTGTAGTCTCATTACCTGGAAGACTGAGTGGAGATAAGGAGTGGCGCATAGCAAGATCGGAATTTGTCTCTGATGAAAAGAACTCTCTAAGCTCTTCATTTTGTCCAGTTCGCAGATGCGTAGATGATCATGTTACAAAGATCTACAGTGCCTTTTCCCCTGTTCTTACAAAGTTAATAGAGTACTCGCCCTCTAAAACAACAGCTATTCAAGTTCTTGAGATTTTCAGAAAGATATTGGTTGATCTAAAGAGTTCCCCTTTCCGAACCAGGAGAACCTCTGTGAAATCAGTTTCAAGTAGTTCTGGTGAAATTTTCAGTAAGACGTTGGCATCTTTCGGCCAGTTACTTGATGCTCTTTCTTTGAAGAGTGAGTTAGGTTCAAATGGGAGTATTGATATAAGTTTAGCTTCTGATCCTGTTAAAACTTCTGTTGCTCTGCCTGTCGTGTTCCACGCAGTGGATGATGTGATTTACAATGTTGGACAATGTGCTAGACTAGATAGCAGGTCCCTCGCTTGGCCACTGCTTAAGTTGAACAGATTATGTTCTGGTCTAGTCCTTGCTAGCGGGGAGGAGCTTCCTTTTGGAATTGTGAGTAACATTGGTTTGTATAATAAAAACTGTTACTTTCAAGAAATTCTAGTCATGTGGAAGAGAAGTTCCCGATATAGTTATGTTGGCGAAGAATCTTAATTCTCTCGTTCTAAATACATCAGGCTACATGTGCATTTGATGGAACACGGATGTCAAAGTGGGAAGAACCAAATGGTGCAGCAGGTAAGCTTAAGCAAAAATGTAACTGTAGCATAACATCATTGTTTCTCATCTATGTCAACTGCATTAGGTTATATCTCCCGTTCTTTTCGATGTGTTACTTCTTTATGTTCATCAGTAAATAGGTCTGCTATGATGGTGAATTTCGCATAGTATAGTTTGTAACTTTGCTTTAATAGCTTGAATTTAGGACGTCCTTTCTCTAGTTTTTAAGTTTACATCTGTAAGGATCATGGTTTGTGATGTATGCGGTAAGCACACGTCATGGGTTTGAACCCTTCCTCATACAAAAAGCCTGGTATTTAAGTGTAGTACGGCAGAGGGACGTCCCACTTTCCACCAAGGTTTGAACTGTGCACCACTGATCCTCGGGGATTTCTTGGTTTATTGAAAAACAAAGGAAAGATCCAAGTCTTCATACCTTAGGAAGCCCTGAAAATCGAAGGACATCATTTTAACAACTTAGGGTGAGGAGGTCCCTAAACAAGAGGAAAGAAAATCAGAAAAGCATGTAACTCATGGATGGAGTTATTGTGAAGTTTAGAGCTAAAGAGTAAGGAGAAATTAATATAGTAACTTTGATGTATCGGTGCCTGCTGATATTGGTCACCTAAACCCCGGGGTTTGTGTTTTTGTTCTTCCCCAAATGTTTCGTAACATAACAAGCAGCTCGTATTGCAACACAATCTTTATGCATCTCCTTCTGGTTGGAGTAAGTCCTTATTTCCTTTACGAAGCCCAATATTTCCGATGGCCAAAGAGATCACTGTTATCTCAATGATGTTCATGTAGATAAATTAAAGTCATATTTAAGTCCATGGTGTGGGCCCAACGGCCAAAGAGATCACTGTTATCTAAATGGTGTAGATGTAGATAATTAAATGTCATATTGTTGACCACCAGACATTACTGTACTAAATTCTTTGATATCTTCTTGATTCTGATGGATGTTTTCCACTTGGTGGTGAAAACCGTTGTATGCGGTGAAATCAGAGGGGTCTATTTCTCGTCGCTAAGGTGCATTCGGGGAGTCATATCAACATCTCGAGGCTGCAGGATTACGATCGAGCTCCCTCCTTCGAGGTTCGTTCGCGATCCAGTAAAGATTCCGAGGACGGGGGATTCCCGAGGCGAGCAGCTAGAATCAGCAAACACTAGCACCATGCCTAGCCGTCCCATCCCTGTATCTTTACATTTAATGTACTCTGTACTATATTGTATTCCCTCTCCTATACAAGGAGAATCCATGCCACTTTGTAAAGGGCTGATGTTGCTCCAACCATTTTTCTCCACAAGATCAATAATATCTCTCTCCTTTTTCTCTCTAACTCGCTTGCTCTTATTGACTCGAGGCCACTTTGGCATTCAATTTTCTCCTACTTATTCTTCATTTATTACTTGGTATTAGCCATAAATAACCTTGTTTAATCGTATCTTAACTGTTATCCCATTCCCGACTACCCTCGATAGCTCGAGATCGAGCTCAGGTATCGACCTCGAGGTCCTCCGTTGACCAGTGCGAAGCCGGGTAGTAAGCCCCTCGGTTTGATTACTGCCTCGTTTTAGCTTGCATTTCATCGTTAAACTTCATATTCCTAGCATCATTTGCTCTAACAGCTAGCAAGAAAATAGATCACATATTTTTAGAATCCCATTTACAAATTTAATTGTTGTTACCATTTTCACGGTAAACAATTTGGCGCCCACCGTGGGGCTAAAAATAATAGTGATTATTTTCTTGTTGGTTCCATCACAAAAACGCAAGTTATCTTTCACACTTTTACTTATCCAAGATCTCTTGATTTCAGGTCAAAATGTCTGGCTCGATGAACAAAGTTGAGAACGACAACGTCGAAAACTACGGGAAAATGGCGTGGCTGCTCCAGCTGCCGGAGAGCAACCACAAAATCCTAATGACGTGCCCGGACCAGTTCCAGCGGACGCGGATTCACAGGACGCACAACAGGTCGATGAAACCTCACACACCGATGGGAGCGTACGGCATAACGACCAACAAGAAGCTCAAAGAACCCCAGCCCGGGAAGAACAGGAAGTTAGTCTTCATGTTATTTTTGAAATGTTGCAGGCACAACAGTTGGCCATTGATCAGTTACAAAGCCATCCAAAGACTCCCAGCACAACAACGCCGGAAACAGCTCCCCCCGTCGAACAAGCACCGGAGAGGTCAAGCAACGACGGATCGGTAGCCGATCCTGCCATCGTGAGAATGCTGGAAGATCTCACCAAAAGGATCGAGTCAGGCGAGAAAATGATAGCAGCCAATGATAAAAAGGTCGATACCTATAACTTCAGAGTTGACCAAATCCCGGGTGCATCCCAAGTCCTGAAAGGTGTAGATTAGAGAAAGTTCGTGCAACGGCCGTTCCCAAAGGAAGCGGCTCCGAAACCCATTCCGAAGAAGTTCAGAATGCCAGAACTCCCAAAATACAACGGGACCTCGGATCCGAACGAACACGTCACCGCCTACACGTGTGCGATGAAGGGCAACGACATAAATAACGATGAGACCGAGTCAGTCCTACTGAAGAAATTTGGAGAAACGCTCTCGAAGGGGGCCATGATGTGGTACCACAACCTAGCTCCCAACTCCAGAGATTCGTTCGCCATGCTGGCGGACTCTTTCGTAAGGGCGCACGCCGGTGCCATCAAGGTAGCAACAAGGCAGTCCGACGTGTTCAAGATTAAGCAAAGGGAGAACGAAATGCTGCGAGAATTCGTGTCTCGTTTCCGGACAGAACGAATGGAGCTAACCCCGGCCTCTGACGACTGGGCAGTGCAGGCCTTCACTCAAGGCCTGAATGAACGAAGCTCGGTGGCATCAAGGCAGCTGAAAGAGAATCTGATCGAGTATCCCGCTGTAAGCTGGTCGGACGTCCACAACCGATACCAGTCGAAGATCAGGGTCGAGGACGACCAGCTGGGAGCCCCTTCAGGCTCAGTATACTCGAGCAGGCTCTTGGTGAAGGAGTCAAGGTCGAATAAAAAGAGGTACCAGCCATAACCCGATGATAGGAGAAACACTCCAAAGCGCAATCCGCCCCGTAACAACTGATTGGTAAACCAAGGACAGAACCCTCGGGGACCCCTCAACAGAGGTGGCTTCGACGGGTACGCAGGGCTAACAGGGGCGCCCCGCCTATCAGAGTATAGCTTCAACGTCGATGTGTCAGACATCGTGTTCGCCATTAGCAAAACCAGGGACGCCAGATGGCCCAGACTGGTACATTCGGATCCTTCCCACAAGAACTACAGTTTGATTTGCGAGTTTCACAACTCGCACGGGCACCGAGCCGAAGATTGCAGGCAGCTCTGAGAGGAAGTGGCCTGATTGCTCGATAACGGGCACCTTCGGGAATTTCTCAGCAACCGGGCTAAAAACCAATCTCCAGAAAGAGAAATAGCCGAAAGGAACAAAGCAGATGAGCCCCAACACGTCATCCACACGATTTTTGATGGTCAACCCAGACGCATTCAAATAAAGGACCACTTAGCTACCGCCGAATAAGCGCCAGAACTTGAGAGCGCCGTCACCACCAAGGTATAATCACCCATCCCTCTTTCCATCTTCTACTTCACGACAACTCTTACGCAGGCCAACAACCAAGGTAATCGGGACGCCACTCCGGCTCGAAGACCCTGAGGCTTCAAAGCGCCCGTTGCACTCTTTTCCTTTGATCTGTTTTTTATCCCGAAACGGGTTCTTATCGACAGGGGTTTTTAACGAGGTAACGCCCGCGCACTTCCCGAGAAGGAATTAGCGAGCCTGCGAGCTTTCTCTGCAACCAACCCCACTCCGGGAAATGACAAACAAAGCTCCAATAGGAAATGGTGCACCGGACCAAACGGTCCAAGGAGCCGCGCCCACGCGGGCCGAGCTTGCAACAACAAAACAGCATGTATTTACGCCAAGCAATAAAGAATATCTTTCAGTATCTCGTACTCCAGAAAAGGGGATTTCAACATGCTCACGACAAGGATCCCTCCACCAAATGCGTCCCGAAATACTCGGAGACTTAGCGTCAACAATTTGGCACCCGCACGACCCCAGGGTCGGAACTCCGGGCTCATAAGGCCCCAACGAGGCAGTTCCGAGCTCACGAATAACGGCCTTCGAGCCTAAGCAAACTTGATGAGTTGGAGACTGTCACCAGTCGCCATGCACTGGAAAACCCGAAACTGTAAGACCCCGAGCGGGCAAACTCGGCATAACCAGATCTATTCTACATAGCAACAAAAAACTGTAAGACCTCAACAGGCATGACAAACTGTAAGACCTCATCATGCATGACAAACTGTAAGACCTCAACTGGCATGACAAATTGTAAGACCTAAACAGGCTTGAAAATTTTGTAAGACCTTACTACAGGCGTAAAACTCAATCCCGAAGTTTAGGCTATACGTCGTATTTGTAAGAATCCTGAAAGGGCATACCCTCGGTGTAGACGCCTAAACTATCACTCGGGATAAAAAACGGCTCCGGCCGAACACATATGACTACGGTCAATACGGCTGCTCCAGCCAAATTAACGCGACTCGGGGATGCCCGACTGTTGCTAACAAAATCGCAGGCCATTACTTCGAATATACTTCGAAAAGAACCGGTTAAAACAGGCTTCCCTCAACAAGCAAAAACGAGCTCGACCATGTCAGCTCCAAATCACAAGGCTTCGAGCTACTCAGCCTATGAGCTAAGAACCTTCCGAGGTGCTCGAACATCGCCGCTAACGACTTGAAATCAAGGTTCTTCCAGAACCGACGACGGGTCAGGCAAAATCATTTCAAAACGACCTTAACGAGCGAAAAACAAAGCCTACAAAAAAGCCCACGGGCAAAAGCGTAAGAGCTATTGTCGCTAGCCAAACGAGCCTCCGGGCCGCACACCAAAAAGTCTCAACGACCAAACAACGTAAGAGCCATTGTCGCCAGCTTGAAAATTGAAAACTTGAGGATTAAAATGTGCTCGAGTCGTAACCTAATTCGGAGATCGGATCCAAAACAGTTAACTACATATGCCTAAGGGCCACATATATAAAAGGTCGCTCCGACCCAAGGCGTAAGAGCCACTATCGCCAGCCCATGCAAACGCAAAACTCGAGGGTAAATTGAGCTCGAGTCGGATCCCGACTCGGAGACTGGACCCGAAGACGGTTAAAGCACGCAAGCCTAAGGGCAAAAAATGAAAACCGCTATTGCCGGCCTAATAAATATCGGGGCCACATTACGGGTTCGGAGGTTTTTGCCAATCCAAGGTCGAATCGACTCAATTGAAACTCCGACGGGCAGAAATGTAGAAGATACAAATTGCGGGGTTCCCCCTCTTATTCTTACATATTGGCGGTAGAGCACTATCTCAACCTACGACATATAATGAAAGCTATATACACAACGAAGAAGGCAGGGAATAGGCGTTCCTCCTTTTTTCGGCAACTACGGTTCGGTGGTCTCCTCATTGTCCTCAGCATCGGACAGAAGGAACTTGGCATCATACTCCTCTCCTTTGGCTTGCTCGATCTCCCCCGAGAGATCGAAGCCCCTGACACGAATCTCCTCGAGGATTTCTCTCCAGGATCTGCACCTCACATACTCCTCGCTATTGTTTGCACGATCGAGGGTCTTCTTCAGCTCAGCTTTAGCAATGGCAGCGCTTCTTGAATAAGCTGCTATTTTCTGTCCCGCCCGGGTATTGTCCATCACAACCTTGGCCCGGACATTCACCGCCTCGGCTTTCGCCCTCGAAAGCTCGGATGACAGCCTTGCGACCATCTTCGCCCGAGCAGAATCATTCGCACGGGCGGTCTGAATTTGCGCCTCAAGAGCGGAAGCCCCGGCCTGAGCCCTCTCTTTGGCCACAAAATGGGCATTCACATGCACCTGCAGCTCGGTGAATTCGCTTTTGGCTTTGCCAACCTCACCCCAGAGTTGTTCCAGCTCATCCGCCTTATCCTTCAACTGAAATAGCAAAACATCAAGGCGACAAAACAAAAAGGGAATGCAGGCCAGCGTGAAATGTAGGGTACCTGTTTCTCCAAGAAGGCCTCTCGGGCCCGGCTTCAGTCCACCTCATGTCGTAAAGAGACGAGCTCGCTTTCCTTTGCCACACAAAGAAGCTTGAGGGATTTCTCCCTATCTCAAGCCTCCCGCAACGGGGCCTCGCAACGAAGTAGTTCGACTTTAAGCCAGTCGAAGGCCTTTGAAAAAAAGCCAGATAAATAAAAGAAAAAAGGGGAGCGCAGGGCCAGAACATTCTTACAGCAGTCGAGACTCACCATAAGGCCAAAGCGTTGAGCCTTGCCGAAGGCCGAAGCACTGTCCGATGGTGTACCACTCCCGGAAGGTTGCCGATCGACCGAATCGCTTCCCCTTAACCGCTGCGAAAAAGTCGCCTCGCTACGAGCCTTCTCGCACCCCGGAACATCTTTCCTTTTACCGGTGCTCCTTGGCCCCGGGGCCAGCCACCTCTCCTCCTCCTCCGAAGGACTTGGCATCGCCTCGAAAGGACTCCCGGCACCTGCAGCAGATAAATCAGATAAGCCGGCAAGAAGGAAGCTATCTCTTAGGAGACAGAACGCCGGGCTCCTACCATGATGCTTCGCCTCCCATCTCCCTTTTGACAGATCTTGCCACCGGCGCCTATCATAAATCGAGCAAGGTGCTAGCTTACGAGACCACTCGGCTAATTCAGGGACCTCGCCGGGCAACCAATGAGTTGCTATAAACAAAGAACAGAAAGATATCATTACGGGGCCAACCTCAGGTTGAGATAAAGGCGGTTCAAACGAAGCACTTACGTGTGAAGTTCCATTTCTTAGGAAACGACAAAAATTCTCCAGGGATAACATCTGTCGTTCGGATTCGAACGAACCGATTCATCCATCCACGGTCCTCATCCTTCTCGCTGCCGATTACAGGAGCTCGGGTGGATCGACGCTGAAGAGCAATCAGGCCTCGATAGCACAATGGCCGGTACAACCTCACGAGGTGGTTGAGGGTAAATTTTATCTCGGCCTTGTCAGCAAAATATCTCATCGACTGCACTATTCTCCAACGAAAGGGATGAACCTGCGCCAATGTTACTTGATATCTTCTACAGAAATCAAGCACGACCCGGTCCGGAGAACCCGGTGCAAGAACATGAATATATAAGCTCAAGAATCCCTCAACATCATAAACATCGGTTCGAGAGAAGCTGTCGATTCAACCTCGGGACACGGCCAGTTTCAGGGCCCCGGTTTGTCTAAAGAGCAGGCCCCGAAGGGCCGACGCCGGAATGCAAAAGCAAAAAGGCAAGGAGAAGGTCTGACAGAATGAAAGCTCCTTTTATACATTGACAAAAAGAAAAAACGTCTTTACACTATCCATTTCCTGGGGGCAGTATACAAAGCAAAAGGGATGGCATACAAAAAAGATTCGGAGACTACTCCTCGTCACTATTGTCTTCCCCTTTATCAAGGGCAATCAAAAGCGCCAATCTTTCCTCCACTGCACGGGCCTTCTTAAGATCAGCTGACAGGTCGATGCCTCTGGCCCCGAGTTCCTCCAAGGTCCCCTCTCCTCGCCTCCGCCTTAGCATGCTCGATAGCTCGGGATAGTTTCTGCTCAGCAGCCATGGATATGTCACGAGCCATTATATGCGCTGTGGCCGTATCCTCCCGATAAGTAGCAGCATCTCGTTCGGCCTCGGACTTAGCCGCGGCCAAAGCAGCAATCTCCATGCGAGTATCCGTGAGAAGATCCCGGGATGCCACCAACTCCCCGACCATTGTTTCATTTCGCTCTCTCAGCCCAGAGATCTACGCATTCAACTGATTAATCCGCGAGCCACTCTGCGTGA